CCACTTTTCTATGTGAGTAAAATGAAAGTTTCTCACATATTTTATATATTACTTGTATCAGTTGTGTGCTTATCAAATCAAATTCAAAACATCTAAATGAAATTCAATAGGTTAATTAAATTTATTCTTTATTTCAAATCAATCATGGTGGACGCTTCAAATTTACGGGCCGGTTGAGTGAGGGAGTTACAAAGGTTAATTAAATGAATTATTATATAAAATAATGAATGATTTGTGGTTTTCAAATTCCAAGGAACGTGAGTGATATTATTATTATTATTATTATTATTATATTTTTTATTAATAAAATATAGGATTTAAAATACTTTTATTTCTATCAAAATAACTTTAATATGACTAATCCAAAATTATTCCTTCTTGAGTCAATTTATTTTATTTAGCACGAGTTACAAAATGAGTATAATATCGATATATTTTTATCAACTTTTGAAATATTTACATATTTGACCCAAATAACTTAAGATAAATTCTAAATAATATACGTATGCAAAATAAATAATTTATGCAAATAAGTGGATCATATTTATCATTTCAACTTTTGAATTTTAGTATGATGACGTGACTGGTCATGGACCCTTTTATTTGCTAAATGATTTATATTAAATTTATCTCACATGAAAATATAATTAAAATTCAAAATGTTACAAAATATCTTCTTCGTACTAACAAAATATTTGAAGAAAGGATTTTAATAAAGTCAAGATGTCGTGATTAATTAAATATTCTAATGATAAAAACGCGACGTAAAAAGTTTAGGACTTATAAATACAGTATTTCGAAACTTTCATCGTAATTAAATGTGATAATTAACAAAAATTATGTGAATATAATTAATCATATATATTGTCACCACTATTTTAGTTTATGCACCATATTATATACACACTACTTAAAACAATTTTTTAATAAACACACCACAATCATTTTACATATGAAACCCAAATCAGTAAATAAAAAAATAAAAAAATGACGATATACCACACATTCTCCCCATCTGTCAAATACATGTACACTTTCTTCACCCTTTTACTGCAACAACATCAAGTGATCAATGTAAAGGTTGAACTCCAACCTTGAGGACCCTTACCGCCTTGCTCCTAGAGTTTTGTGAGGGAGATAAATCGCGGGATGTGCCCCAACAGATCAGGGAATAAGAGTCGCATATATACTACGCCTACAGTGAGTCCAATTCCATGTTTCAGGAATCGAACTCTCATACTGCGACTGCCAACAAGGCGTGAGATAACCTCACTCCTATCCTTTGCACCAAGACTATGCCCCGGGGGGCTACATCAAGTGATCAATGTAACCAACTAAAGGGAGGAGAGAGAGAACGAAGAGAAATATAAAAGGAAAGCAATAAAAGTTTTACATTTTTCTTTTCTTTTTATTTTTTTCCTTTGACTCATTTTTATTTTCTGCATTTTATTAATTAGCACATCATGTCTCCAATAACAATTTCTGTCCAAAAGGTCCGTTGAAAGAGTATAAAATGACTTATTTTGTATAACATAATTTTAAAAGGACAATAAATGCAAATGTACAATAAAGTATTTTTTTTTCTTCACATGAAAGCATACAAATAGAAAATTTTGACAAGAATCATAATCAAGGACGAGACGTGTGTGTGTATATATATATATATATATATTCCCTTTTTCTTTTGAATTATTATGTCGATGTCATTCTCTATTAGAGCATACAATCATAGTTTTCAAATCAGACCTGCCTCTGTTCCCCATATAAAGCATGCTATTATTTTCAGAAACAAAACATTATGAATCAGAGAAAACAGAATATGGAAGGCAACGTAGAGATAATTTCTAAATATATGATTAAACCATCATCCCCAACTTCTCCACATCTTAAAATTCTCAAGCTTTCTTTTCTAGACCAAATCTCTCCACCAGTTTATGTACCTCTTATTTTCTTCTATCAAGCTGATGAATTAGGCCGCAAATATACTGATCATGCCCACAAATTTCAATTGCTAAAACAATCTTTATCCAACACTTTAACTTTATTCTACCCTTTGGCTGGAAGAATTCACGAAAATTCTTACGTGGATTGTAACGACGCTGGCGCTAAACTAATCGAAACTAGGGTTCATGCTAACGTCTCAGATGTTATAGAAGAGCCTCATATGCAGAAACTGCAGCAGTACTTGCCAGTGAAACCCTCCAGTGTCGTTGATGCTGAGGCTGCTCTTCTAGCCATCCAAATCAATTTCTTTGATTGTGGTGGCACCGTTATAGGCGTGTGTTTATCACATAAAATAGCAGACGGCGCGTCCTTGGTGATATTCATCGAAGCTTGGGCAGCCACGTGCCGTGGAGAATCGAAAATTGTGCAGCCCAATTTTGGTTTCGCAGCCCTCTTTCCTCCGAAAGATTTCTCTACCTATAATTTCAGACCAACCGATACCATGTCAAGCGAAAAGATTGTCTCAAAAATATTTGTCTTTGATAAAGATAAGCTTGTTGCGTTAAAAGAAGCAGCCGTGGTTGGATCGGAACTATTAGTGAAGAATCCCACTCGGGTGGAAGCTGTGTCAGCTTATATTTGGAGGCATTTCATCGAGATGGCAAAAGGAAAAACTGAAAAGGAAAAGATGTTTGGTGCTGTCCATGCAGTTAACCTAAGATCAAAAACAAGCCCACCTCTTCCAGAACATGGTTTTGGAAACTGTTGGAGCGTCGCGTTCACATTATTCACAGCTGATGACCCCAGCAACCTAGGATATGGTGATCTAATAACAAAGTTGGGAGGCGCGATAAGAAAAATCGATGGCGATTATATTAGACAAAAGAAAAATGAAGAGAATTGGAGTCGTGTCAGAAAATTAAATGATCCATCATTAGAGTTATGCAATTTTAGCAGTTGGTGTAGGTTTCCTGTTTACCGGGTGAATTATGGCTGGGGAGAGCCATTATGGGTCTGCACCACAACTATGCCGTTCAAGAATTTTGTAGTTTTAATGAGTACTAAAACTGGGGATGGCATAGAAGCATGGGTGAACATGCTTGAAAATGATGTGGAGAAGCTTCAAATCCATGGATAAATACCACCATGCTACATAATCAGAGTCAATGACAGAATTTCATTTTCAAACAATACTTGGCAGATTCTCATTGAAAATTGAAAAAAAAATACAACATAAAAATACTTAATCATGAGTTGCCACATCGGTCTTTTTTTCCTTGTTTGTTTTCATGTTTGTTAAGCATTATTCGAATAAATAACTTAAACTCTGATTTTTCCATTAGTCTTTCGTGTGCTTTCGGGTTTTCAAGCTTGAAGTCCTCTAGTGTCTGTTATCGTTACATGAGATGTCATGTCACGCTCCCTTCGAGCTTCTACTATTTATTTTGTAAAAATATAAGTATCATCCATGTTAACTATCTATACGCAATCACCCAAATCATGAACAAGCAATTCCAAAGTCATAAGTATTATCGCATTCTATGATGATTGACCTATTGTTTCAGAAAATATGCAATAAAGAAAGCAATATGGAGAAGAATATCAATTTGTATTCATTTATTTCTTTCGTGTATTTGCTATACAATGCCTTGGCTACTTATAGAGAGGAAAGAATCTACTCTAACTATAACTTTATACAAGTTGGTATAAGTTATAAAAAAAAAACAACACAATTTAAAAAAACAAACTCCAGCTATGCAGCAGCATATTCCCAGCAATTCTTCTAGAGTCTTCGTCAACTAGAATCTGTAGTCCAGCTGGATTTGTGACTCACGTCTATTTCTACTAAGCTTTGAGTTGGCATCAATGCTCCTTGCTGACTTTCTTGATTCAATAGTGCTTTGGGGACACACAATTTTTTTATCATTTGAACAAACTAAATAATTTAGAGCATTTTCAAGACACAACTTAAACACAATATGTTCTTTATTTTTAAGAGTTGGTTCTTAAAATTATATTTCAAGAGACTGTTCAAATTAACATTTTAATTTAGATAGTGAGTTTGACTATAAAAATTAGAGCCAAATTCACTCTCTATAATTAAATGCAATCAAAGTATTTCGTTTTTCAATGGAAAAAATAATACAATAATTTAGAAAAAATCTAGTGAAAATAAAAGAGAAAAAATAATAAATAATTTTTTAGAATAGTAAAATTAAGTGTTAAATATAAAAAGTTTGTTGAAGTACTTAAAATTATTCTCTCTAAATTATATGATATGCTCTTTTAAAATAGAGAGTTTCTTGAAAATGTCACAAATAATTAAGAACAACCATGCTTGATGTATATCATATTTTAAACCATTTTTTACATTTTGCTGTCTCATTACACCATTGGACAATTTGAAAATAAAAATGTTTTTTCATCCAATCAATTATTGACAACATGAATGATGTCAACCACGATGTTAAAAAAAAAAAGTATACAAATGGCATAATTCTAAAACTAAAGCCATTAAGACTGACTAAATTTCAAGAATATTTGAAGTGAACAAGTATTAAGATTTTGACTTCACCTAAATGTCTTCTTTAATTTCTATAATCAAGCTCCAGGACATATTTGCTCACGTTGACAACCGATGTCCCTTCAATGTCCAACAATCTCTCTGTCTCAATGTTACTTTTTAATTAATACTACAACAATTAATACAATAACAAGTAATCAAACATCAAGCAAATGTTAGGAGCAATTAGAACAAGATTATAAAAATTTAAGATTCAAAATAGGTTTACATCATCATCCTAGCATGTTACAATTTAGACCATTATGTGAAAATGAGAGAAAATACATATGTTCTGTTACGCACACCGCACCGCCTCAGCTAGTCGAAGTGCGTACGACACTTCCAAATACCCGTATATTCGAGGCAGTACCCTTTGCCTATAATACCAAGGTCTTGACCATATAACCAAGAAAAAGCATTTTCTCCTCCCCCTTTTTAGTATCGCGCATTTCGGCACCGCCACCACCATCGACTGACTTCATCATCGGAGTATATGCGGCTCCCACCACCACCACTGGTACCGATCGTATATGCCTGACCTTTCATTATTGCGTGCAAGGAGGAATAAGTGGAATAGCTCGCAGTTGGCCACGTGAAGAGTCCAATTTGCAGGGTCAGCATGTTCAAGAAATACATTTCACAAAAATGACACACTTGAAATCTTGAATTTTTCTACATTAAAAATCATAATTTGACATCTTGAAAAGAGATTGACTTGAACTGGCTGGGACATGGCCTAAAATCCTGAAAATTTCCTAACGGTGTGCAAAAATTCCAAAATCAAAACCATACGTATTCTTTCACTTAATTTCAACCCAAAAAAACATTAATTGTCTTGAAAATCATAATATTTTCTTAAAATTGTACTTTAGTACTAAACATGCACAATTGTGTTAATGGAATTTAGTGATGTCACATTCTACATTTAGTAGGATCACCTCACCCCAACCCTGCCCTTCAAAAAAAGAATTTAAGCCTTGTTTGCTAGTGCCCACTCTCAAAAAAGAACAATGTCATAGGTACAGATTTTTTTCCTAGAAATCAAACAAATAGACACTTGACAAATTATGATTGGAAGATGACAAAAATACCACCAACAAAATAAAATAAAATGAAGTAGATGCTGCCCTCACAATGTATATTTTTATGTACTTGGGGAAAAACAGCTAAAAAAAGAAAAAAAGTTTACAATAATGCTGCCTGTCCATGGACGTAGAGCAGCACTAAAAAATTTAAGGTAATGCTAAAATAGTTTTTAAGAGTGTCGAATCCTATTATGGCCCAATTAGTGCTATTTGTGTAAATTTGTCATTGCTATTTGATCTATTATGTGGATCCGACCCTTCATTTTACTTCCCGCTCTCATCACTTTCACCCCTTTTTGGCACGTGAAATTCGAAAATTGCCCTATTGACAACGTACATACTATTTAGAGAGATATAGAGAGTGGGAAAATTTTGGGGAGAGTGAGGCCATCATCAATCAGTTCCTTAGGATTGTTGGAGTTACTCTTTCGATATATGGTATGTTTTTTTCTTTGATTTGTTGTATAGGAACTGGCCATTGTCAATACTAATACATTTCTGATCTTTTCTTTTGGTGAACTGCCACTTTTATTCCTTCCTGAATTAATATCGTTCTAAAGTAGGAGTTTACTCCACGAAAATTGGGAAGTTTTCGTTTGGGCATTTGAAAAGTTATCAGTATTACAGAAATTAGTAAACAAAATTAAGAGCGATTCTCATTTTATCTATTTTATTTTTTTATTCTTTTATTTTCTGGCTGCTCTTCTGAGTGACCCTGTTGGAAATATCAAATACCAGAGACTAAGAAATATCAGATACTATGCAGTTTTGCATATACTTGAAGAATATGATGGTAGTATTCCGTTCACATGATTTCTAACGAAAGTTGATGAAATATGTAGTTGAAAATGAGTTTTAAAAATAGGGGTCAAGACTCATTTAACTTGTTTCCAATTGGCACAGAAACTACACTTTTAAAGCTTAAACAAGGCTCTCTTCGCAATCCTAGCATAGCCCAGGAGAATTCGACAGGGACAGATGTAAATTGTACCATGGAAATTGAGGATGCAAAGACCATGGAGGTCGATTTTTCCTCGACTAATTCTTTACCAATTTCTAGTAGCTTTGAATCTACAGACACCTCTAAAGAACAAGGGACTAAAAACCTTTCTGTTCTCTACCTGTTTTCGAGATACAACAACTCTCAACAAAATTCAGTAAGCTCACCTAATGGGGTGGATATGTTGGCAGACAGTGCTTTTTCTTCTACCAGTGTTTCACCAAGTCCTGGCAATGGCCAGCTGCTAAGCACTTGACAGATTAATTTTTCTCTACTCATCTTTTTTTGAGATCACAACTACCAAGTACCTCTAATAAATGACAAGTTGAGAGCATAGCAAAAATTTAACTATCGTTACATTTCTCTTCCGACTGTTGTATGAAATGAATTATCTCGAGTCACTCTTCTGACAAACAAGTTCTACAAAATATGGCTGGTCAAGCATGGAACAAAATTAACTTTTTTTTGTTTTTTACTTTCTCACGAGAATTGAGATTGAATTACAAAAATGAGTTTTGAACACGATTGTCTAAGAAGTCAAATTTCACTCCCTCGACCATGGCTCTAGAACTGGTGTCCATGCACATAATTCTTCATCCTTGAACTAGAAAGCTGCAAGGCAAGAAAAGAAACATAAATATGTATTAACACTGTCACACTGAAACCCGACCTTTGGTATGCACAAAAATCACAAAAATTTCATCATAAACACAAGAAATTTGAAATGTATGAGAACTACTTGTTACCTTACCTCAAAGCACTTGTGACTCGTGTTATAGCACATTAAATGTACTGTGCAGTAGCGTGTACTTTAACATGCTAGTTAGAAATAAGTACCAAATTTGTGAGACCTTAATAATGCAAGTTAGCATGATACGGATGAATAGAGAATGGTTAAGACCTCAAAGTAACATCCACAGCTTGTGAAGGATAAAGGTAAATAGCATGTGCTCGAATTTAAAGATGTATTTACTCAACAGACCCTCCCTTGCAAAATATATGTAACTAGCTTGACATTGAATCAATTTAAACCATTTAAACAGTGAAGGTTAGGAAGGGGTTATGTAAATGAAGAGAATTCTCTACGCCATAAATCTTGACTGGAAACTTGCTTATGCATAAAATATATCTAATTCACGCTTGCTGTCACTTCCATGAACCGCATTCCTGCCTATGTAATAGCATAAAACCATGAGCATTAACCTTAAAGTTCCGATTAATGTTGAATTGATATAATTAAATCCTTAGTGGTATAACCTCGAGTTTGAATAGCGAGATCTCCTCTGATTGTTCTCAGCTCAGCTTGAAGTGAATTGGCTGCACCAATCACTTTATGAGCAGAAGCAACAACGCCAACACCTTCCCAAGCCTTGCGAAACAAAATAATCACTCGTTTCTCAGAAAACAAGTAAATAATATAACTTAATTATTTGCTTATGGAGAATAGGGTTTAATGAGAAACATACCATACACAAAAGAGGACCAGATGTAATGTAATCAATCAGTTTAGGGAAGAACGGCTTAGGTTGCAGATCCTTATAGTGCTCCTACAATCATTATTGAACTACACAACTAGGTTGTATAAATAACTTAGTCATCTCAAAGAGTTTTCAAATTAAGATGAGCAAATTGAGCAAATTTTCTTGTAAATGACACGTAATCGATTAAAATTGAGTAATCTTTTTACAATAATTACTATAACAATTCAGCTTCCTGTTGGAATACACAGAGCCTAATTATATTGCTGACCCTTCCCTTCAACTGCTGATCGACCTAATGTTCCTACCATATAAAGAATGCATATAAATATGTAAGTTTGCTTTGTGTTTTCTTATTTCTGGCAGCTTATTAACACATTGAATCCATTTGAACTTCCCAGACATACATTACAAAATCAACACGACATTTACTGAAAACACAAAATTTTATATAAGCTCTTCTTCCCAAAAACTAAAGAAAACAAAACACTGCCAATTCTTGGGGACACTGGAAGAGTTTCATGCTTTAAACATAAACCCGAATTATTAGAGGCGCGCTTTACCACTGAACTAATAGCCCATAGTACGAGCCTCCCATTGGTGTCCCCTCCAGTCAAGAATTGGGGCCTAGGCCCCGAATTCAAGTTGATTCTATTTTGTCGATGAATTCGTTCTCGGGAGATCACCTTTTTCTCAAATGTTGAAATTCTCTCTCCAACTTACAAATACAGAAAAAATTCCAAAGCATGCACTTCTACTCTAAATTTACCAAGAACTGAACTTTTTTACTACTATTTTAACTAGATGAATTTTTGTTGAGTTTCTTACAAGGCCACGTTGAACCCCATCAGGCGTAATCATAACGTAAGTCTCTTCCACTTCCTACACAACAAAATCAACAACATAAAAAAAATAAAAAATAAAATCCGAATGAGGTTCCTAATACGTGAGAAGTACCAAAATGAATACTTCAATTTCTTCCTCTACAACAAAATCAAGAACCCAAAAAATTCCAAAAGGGTTTATTGAATCTTTAAATGAAAATTGAAATATACGTACATACCATGGAAGCAACTAAGTGGGGAAGGAGCTCTCGGGACATAGCTAAGTGGTGTAAAGGACTCCTTATAGGTATAGTGTACAGACAACTCTTGTTTCCTGGACTGTTGGGGCACATCCCACGATTTATCTCCCTCACAAAACTCTAAGAGCGGGATAGTGGAGGCTCTCAAAATTAGGGTTAAACCTTTTTTAACTAAATGGGGAAGGAAGATGTGGGGTTTACGATGTACTTTCTTGTAAGTATAGAAACAAGATGGGTTGGTGACTGGAATCCTGTTTAGTGTGAGGTGTGCAGGAAAATATTGTACATTACTCGTTGTAAACTTGGCATTTTTCAAATTTCAACATTTATGTTAGTGATTAACGTACAATATTTTTAAATGTTCAATAACTAAAATTTGATATTTTAAATTTCAGTGAGCAATAGAAGATATGGATCTAAATTCAGTGATCAAAACTCGACATTTTAATCAATCAAAAACATGAACCTATGCACAATTACCATTGGAACAATTAATTCTTGGATAAGCTGCCATTTCTTGCGAGGAAGAAACACAGGGCAGTGCCGGTGCTCCACATAGAATGGCTATGGCATCCAATCTCTATCCAGTCTCCCTGTGCCTGACCAAACTTCGTCGGGACAAGTGATGATTACGTAAATGTTTTTTTTTTTTTTTGGGCTCCGTTGGATTAATTATTTCTTTTTAATATTGTTATTTATTAAAACATAATTTAAATTATAAAGCCACAACAGAGTACTCTGTAATACGATGTTTTTGTGTCATCGGCAGAATATAAGCGGTAGTCGGAAAGATTGCAGTCGTAAATATGCTTCTGAAATCAGCATTTTCTCCCATATTCACAGTCATTCCCACCACAAACATACACCGAAAGCTCTCGCGCTTTGTGATAACAAATGCTCTAACACAAGCATGTCTACAAAATGTTCGACAAAATGTGTCAATGTATGCTGAAGCCAATCCGTCTTCGTTATTAGTAGTACATAAACTCCCCCCTACATCGGCTTACATTCACCTCCCTTTTTGCCGAAAACGTTGCCACTACTGCGATTTCCCCATCATTGCTCTTGGCTCATCCTCCTCGTCTTCGTTTTCGTCCTCAACAAGAACGGCAAACGATGATTGTGAGGATCCACGTATATTGAACTATGTTGAAACTCTCTGTAGAGAAATGAAGGCCACCAAATTAAGTTCTGATTCTAACCCACTTCTTGAAACGGTGTTTTTTGGTGGCGGCACGCCTTCGTTGGTTCCACCGAAGCTCGTTGCTCTAGTTCTCGACACCCTTAGTTCGAAATTTGGTTTGTGTGCTAATGCTGAAATATCAATGGAAATGGACCCTGGCACGTTTGATGGAGCAAAAATGAAGCAGTTATCAGGATTGGGTGTGAACAGAGTGTCTCTGGGTGTTCAGGCTTTTCAAGAGGAGTTGTTGAAAGCTTGTGGGAGAGCTCATGGAGTTAAGGAGATTCACGAGGCTGTTGATATTGTGAAGTCGTGTGGGGTTGAGAATTGGAGCGTGGACCTCATTTCCTCGCTCCCTCACCAAACTCCGGATATGTGGGAAGAGAGTTTGGAGCTCGCTATTCAAATCCAGCCTACTCATGTTTCCGTCTATGATTTGCAAGTCGAACAAGGGACAAAGTTTGGAACACTGTAAGTGATTTATCAGCTAAATTTAAGAATCGAATTGCTAGAACATGATGCAATGAAAGTGCTAAACCTTTAGTCTGGGGTTTGAATATGTTACAGTTTCCCTGATTAAATTTTTGGGTAATATTTGCATGCTTGCAGGTTTACTCCAGGTGAATTTCCTCTGCCATCAGAAAATCAGTCAGCTGAGTTCTACAAAATGGCTTCAAGAATGCTGAGGGATGCTGGTTACGACCATTATGAGATCAGTAGTTACTGTAAAAAAGGTTATCGGTGCAAGCACAATCTTACATATTGGAAGAACAAATCTTTCTATGGTTTTGGACTCGGGTCAGCCAGTTTCGTTGGCGGAGTAAGGTTTTCTAGGCCGAGGAGGTTGAAAGATTATATGGGTTACGTGCAGAATTTAGAGGATGGACCGGTGAATCATTCTGAGGATAGTTTTACTGATTACAAAGACTTGGCAATGGATATTGTTATGCTCTCTCTCAGAACTGCTCGTGGGTTGGATTTAGAGTCTTTCGGTGAAGCCTTTGGTGGTTCACTTCTGCTCTCAATTTGTCAGGTCTATAGACCATATGTGGAAACTGGGCATATGATCTGCTCAGACTCGAATGGGAGAAATATTACATCTGATGAATATAGTTTCTTGCTATCAAACGAGCATAAGATGAATAAGGTGTTGGGGTTCCTTCGGCTCAGCGATCCTGATGGTTTTCTATTATCGAATGAATTGATATCCCTTGCTTTTGGTGTCATATCTCCATGATTTTCTTTTTCTCCGTTGTTTTTCATGCTTGGAGTTCTATGCTAACAAGCGTTTGAAGCTTTGTCTGGTACGAGGGAGACAATGTTCAAAGCCCAAGAGGATCAAGAATATTCAAGTTGATAAAATGTTTGTTGTGTGCAGGTTCTGGCAATAACTTGGTCTCTGTGGCAGTATTTCATCACAAAGATGAGAAAAATAAGTGCGCGGAACGGTGTAACAAATACAACTTAACTTCTCTTTTCTCCCTCAAATACTGTCTAGCGCTATTCAAACTATCTATCAAATGTATTGTAAATGTATATTCTCAAAACTGAGAAGAAATATAAACTAGGAATTATAACTGATGTTGTATGTTGCAGGCTTCTATTTATGGATAGATGTTGTAATTTGTGAGAATTAGAGTTTTATTCGATGAATTTTTACCCCTATTTGATTTTGCTAAAAAAACAAAGTTTAAGAAAAATGTAAGTAAAAGTTGATAAAATTTAACAGATGTATAATTAACGTTGACTTTGATTTAAGTTTTTATCATTTTTTTTTTTAAGCTAAACCAAACAAGAGCTTTGTAATTTAGCTTCAGAATTTACCAAGAATCCAAGATGCAGTTTTTGCTTAGGGGTTAAAAACATTATTAGAAAGGTTGAACCACAATCTTGAGGGCCCCACCGCCTCGCCCCTAGAGCATTTTGACGGAGGTAAATCGCGAGATGTGCCTCAATAGACCAGAGAACAAAATTTGGTCCGTACACTTGTGTCTATAAAGAGTTCAATTCAATATCTCAGAAATCGAACCCTCACACTGCGGCTGTCGACAAGGTTGAAACTACCTCACTCCTGTCATTCACTCCTGTCATTTGTACCATTGGGTTATTCCCCTGGGGGCAGGTTACAAACATTGTTAGCCATATTTCACTTTGTTTGTCAAGTTTTAATCGTTCCAAATTAGTCGCTGAACTTTCATTTTATTTTAACGTCTGTTAACCTTGAAGTAATATTAAATGCAAGAGTCCATCAAATTTAACATAATTATCAATTTGAAAAGTAAAAGGGGACAGATTTGAAAACATACTAAATTTTTAATCAACTAAATACAACTGTTTTCTTTAAGTAACTTGTACTGATTTTTAAGCATAGGCAAACACGATATTTAGAAACAAGAAGTAAAAATCAAATAAAATTTAAGCATAATGCAGAAGGCCAAGAAAATTGAAACTAATGAAGACAGATGAACATCTGTTCAAACTTAATAGACACCATTTTGAAATGTACAATATTTAAAAATTTCAAGAGGCACCTGAATCCCGAGTCGGAAGATACTTTATGAACAGAATTATGATCCATTTATCAAAATATCTTTTCAAGCATCTTCTATGTTTTTTTAACGTTAAAGAGAAATGTTCATATTCGGGGAAGAAAATCTTAAAACCAACAAAATCCAAAAAATGCAGCTGATTTTCCTGCGAGCTATTGTGAGCCGATGTTGAAAATTCACTTCAACAGGCAACACTATTGAAGGATATACACTTGTTAGTACCTCAGAACTTGAATTTATGTTCATTCCCCATCTGCTCCAGTATGTTATGCCTAAGAGTTTTTCCTGAAATGGAAGGAAAAGAACACGATAAAGGCATGTCGTGCCCATGTAATATGCTCATAATTGGGAACGAATATTTCAACGCAACATATCGTTCAAAGACAAATTAGAGGACGAGTTGAGAGCATGTTTGGCTAATAAGCTTAAAAAGAAGTAATTGTTAAGTAACTTTTGTTTTCAAACATGTTTAGGTAAGTTACTTTTCTTACTTTCAAGAACAAAAGAGTTGTTTCAAAACTGTTACATACCGTCAATATATTTTTAAGGGAACATTCTGAAGGCAGTAATCTCAGTTAAAAATACATCCTTGTGTGATTCCGGTAGACGAAATTGTGCACCAGAAAATCTAATCTTTCTAGTGGCCAGCCAATCTTCTTGTTCAAATAATAACTTCTTCCACACCGTTATTTAGGACAAACAAAGATACATTAATTAAGTGGTAGTTGAAGTATCAAAAAAATTTCCATGTGGTGAAAAATATCCAGAGTGTTGAGGAGACTGAGTGATTCCATAAGAAAATAAGAAATCTAGATAACGAAGCGTCATAACTGTATATGAAGCTTAAAGGTTAAAATTATTGGTCTCAACTCTTGATTTAAGCACTACAATTTATTTCCAGAACAAATTATCATGTTAATTAGGATAAGACCTACGAAATCTATTTATTTTTTTATGATTGTTTTTCGGACAGGTTCTCTTTTACAACATGGAACACGAGCGACTTACTTACAAAGAAAATGAAACAAAATGACAAATAAGTCAAGAAACTTAAGAGCCCAAATTTAAATTTTCATCATCGGATAATTTCGAAGCAATTTCAATTGCTTACCATCAAGAAGGCTTTGGTTTTCTTCCAGGTTTTGAGATGCGCTTGAGTTGTTGCCCTCCCGTTCTCATTTCTCTGCAATGTATAAAGAAAATCTTCAGAAGCTAGAGCAAAAGTGCTTGGATTCTTTCCTTGATATCATGTAAAAGTTTGGGAATTCAGAGACTAGAATGGAACCTTTGGTACAAATAAACAATCAGGTAAAATATTGGGAGGAACATCAAAATCAGTATTGAAATTGCCAGGTAGAAGATGCTTGTATGCTTCTGCATGTAAAAAGGTGAAACAACAAGAATTAGATGGAAAACGATGATAAAAAGAATGAAAAAGTGCAAAATACTCAATAGATGGATCGAAATAAACCAATTCCACAAAGGTATATGCCGGGCATCCAATATGCCTAAAAAGCCGTAAGAGGCTGATCCAACTGTTGTTGGGAAAAATCAATTCAACTCAACCAAATTTTATGGCCATATTAGTGCCTAAAAAGACATGTTAGTAAATTCGTTGAAGACTAAATTAAAAATATAAATGTGTCTACTCTTTGGCAGTTGAAGCTTCTAGATGAGATGGTTCAAAATGGTATCAAAGCAAGCAAAGGTTCTGAGTTTACGATTTTACTGCCACCATGTATAAATATTATGCATCTGTCATGCCTTTGAAGAAAATATATATTTCTGGCAGGCCACGTGAGGGATCATGTTGAATCAAACTTTTAGATAAAATAGTTCAATAGTGCATATGCAAACCAGTCAAAGTTTTCTATCAGAGATTGACAATGCAATAATGCAAACCACAACACCTTGAGAATATAAAAAATCTCTCCTCTATACATAAATCGCTTTCTCTTTTATAATTTCCTCGAAAGAGTTTTCAACTACATTTATAGCACCCAAACTGGGGTATTTACTGAGTGAAGCCTTACCCTGCCTCCCCTAGAGAAGGGTTTTCTTCCTCCAGAACAAGTGTGTGCATCACAGAACTGGCGCAAAAATAACTCTACAAACATCATAAAGAAAGTTAATGGGGGTAATCAGGAAAATTAAAGCCAGAAGAAGTATTTATGGGTTAGAAAATGGTACCATGAAGACGAGTTGCTGGGGGGCCCTGATTAACGGGAAAACAGCTGTCGGCAAGATCCTGCAAAGAAAGAAACGGATTTAAACCAGGGGATAACAAACAAATAGTGCATATTTTCTTAGTACCGTGCAGTATACCAATCCTTCCTACCAAACATGCTAATAATGTGAAAGATCACAAACACGGGGACAACCTCACATAAGTGATGGTTTTTAGCAGCAGCAGCAGGATTGCACTTGGTTTTACGAGATTGAGTATCCATTACGAGGTCACAATGCAAAGCTCCGCATACATCAGCTAAGCACTTGCTGCCACTCTGAATCCACACACAGTGTGTCATAAAATATGGAACATGCTATATTTTAATAGAAGAGCTATTACTATAGCCTCTTGATTCAGGGTAATCCTTAAACCATTAAACAACGGAAAAAGTCGTAAATGCCTAAACAGTAACATGATTTGAACACCTTGTGAATGTTAAAACATAGTGCAACCTCTTCAGTACTCAAAATTATGATGCAAGCTGCAGCTACAGGAATTATTTTCACGTGAAATATTGAAACGGCACGTGGGGTAATTTCAGATGGCTCTACATTAAAGTTACAAATAATCAAACTACTTTACAGTAGCAATGCTTCATAATTAGTATCAATACAAGGCTTTGGATGTGCAGTTTTGAGAAATGTTCTGGTTTTCTCATTGTGATCTGAATCTCGAGACAGGAACCTGACGACTTTCTATCTTCTGAAGGTACCATTTTCCAATGACAAAAATAACTCCAGTGTGCAACATATGAATCAGCCAAAACTTTTACTGTGGGACTAGGGTGATATTATTCCAGAAAGTAATTCACTTCTCTCCCTCTGTATTTGTTCTGGTTCAAACCAAACTAGGAAGACCAGGGCGAAAAAAGCTGAGGGTTATATGAGAGGAATCAAAATTTATACAAAATGTGTAAAACATAAAATGACTCTGCCAGATAAAAGGGGATAGGGATAGATATTCCAATTGCACAAAAAAATCTTAATCAAATTACCTACCCACATCCACTCAGATAAAGTACAAACTCATAACATTTCTAAACTGTGATGTGACAAATGTAAAAGGGTACTAATAAGGAGGGGTACCAAAAATTTTGATAAAAGAGGTTAAATGTTCAAACAATGTATAAATACAGTGGCCGAGGCTAGGAAGAATCCTAGATCTAGGTTGGGAAGGATATAAAGGAGCGGTTTTATTTACTGGAACAGATGGGAAAGAACTATATCAGTCTTATAATTTCTTAAAATCATATAGTTTATATGTAAATTTGAAATATAATAGGAAATATTTTCTCCGGTCCAGTATCACATAGAGGTGATTGTGTATATTTCCTATAGACCAATTCTACAGTACATATTTAACAGTTATTATAAATTCAATCATATTAAGAAACAGCGTGAAATTTTGTTAGGGTTTTATAAGTTGAACAATGAAGATTAAGGGCTAAGACACCAATTGGAAAGCATAACCACTCTCTCTGGTTACTAACTCACACAAACAATTAGAAGGTAGAACAATGCTTGCTCTTGTTAAAAACCCGTATGCTTATCCATCTTGCAAACAAAAATTTTCTTAAACATCATTTCAACGATAATTTCAACTATACTCGTCAACTCAACATAACTATGATATGTATATCAAGGAGTATGTACAACAAATGAAAAAAAAAATTAGCAAAAAACAGAAGGGTCTTTATGTTAACCAGTTAAAATTCCTTCTTTTTCTTTTTTCTTTTTTCTTCTCCTTTTTCTTTTTTGATAGTTTGCAATTGAAAGTCGAAGCATATCATATAAAAGTAACAATGTAAGCTAAATAGAGAGAAGTTATTCCGAGAATTTGTAAAATGCATAATTGACTGCAATATACAACCAAAAATACTAGCAACCAGCAGTTTTGAATCCATAGAACCATGGTATTGCTCTAGAATAATGAATGAGGAAAGACGTTTTTACATACAATATTCAGAAGATTTAGGTGTCTGTTGTCAAAATGCTGATCCAAATATTTTTCTGCTCGGAAGATTTTCTTACAGTACCCACAGCGCCACTCATTTATATCCACATGAATCTTATTTTCCTCTTGATCTCTAAAGATATCATTGCTTGGATGAAGTCGGCATTTGCTCGAGAGCTGATATTTCTCTCGTTCCAAAAATGGCATAAGATACTGCAACATTAATTACATTTAAAGTTAATGAAGGGAGAGCAGATTAAAGGTTGGCTTCAAATGTATCTACAGAACTATCAAGTATTTGATAGTACCTCCTCTATAACTTTCCATGCAGCCCGACTCCTCTCTCTGGAACAATGAACTTCAGGAACTTGAGATTGATCTTCTTTAAGATTTCTAAGTGACAAAAGGAAGAAAACTTACCAACTCAAACCTTAACCCAAGTTTTATTAGAGTGACTCGATAAATTTTAATTGAATTGATCTCACTTCATGGATTTCTCTATTTGAGAAAGAGTTAAATTACTTAACCATCAGTCTATTAATGCAGGGATTAGTATCAGTGAATAGGATAGAATGGAAGAATGTAGAACCAGCGAAAAAGAAAGGAAGGAAAAAGTTAGCCAATACTAATCCTAACTACAGGACAGGGAGCATTTTTTCTGTAAAGTGTCCAAAGATTAGATTTATCTTTGACAGTTGAGACACAGGAAGTGATCTTAAAAGGAATTAACAAGTAAGAACTTCCATCAAGTGAAAGAAAATGTTACCTTGAAATAGAATGCTCAATACCCTGCAGCACATTAAGTTGAAACATGTGAATTCACATGAATAAGTGTAGAAAGATGACATTTATTCAGACATTCAATAAAACATATCTCATGTACATATACGGACGCATAAGTATTCTTTCATACAATTAGTTTATTGCTAATAATCCAGTTGAGATGATCACAAGTTGCTAAAGCAAAACATTAACCTGTTTCTCGTCACTGCAAATCTAAGAATCCAAACCATCCAAAAAAAGTTAATTAACTGAGCATTTCATAACTTCATAGTATAACATAAGAAAGTTCTAACTTGGAAAAAATTTAATGGGCCCTGATCTTATGAAACTAAACACCCAAAAATTCACATAAAAGGATCAATCAAATTTTCTATTCATTAAATATTCAACCTTTTTCTTCATTTCTTACCTCGTCTTCACACCAAATCCTCAATTACTTATTATTTAAAGAACGAATTTGACAAAAAGTAATCAAGATTTTGAGCACTACAGAGTAAATAAACTACATTTAGAGAAACAGAACAAATCCAAATAGATGGATTAAAATTGAACTCAATTTCTTCGTTTGAAGAATTCTTATTTCCCCGTAAAATTAAATTTCATCTTAAAGTAAGAGAAGAACTACCTGATTTGAGTTTGACTGCGAAAGAGATGAAGCAAAGGATGATTCAAGTGTGATCAGAAGAAGAAAAACACTGTATGAAAAGACTCGTATTTTCTTCCCCATGTCCCCTCTATTCTTTCTCTGCCCTTTTCTTTTAAATAGCACAGTGATTTTTCTCCGACTCCTCTGTCCATTTATATACTCCATATTACGGTATTTCGGAAAAGTTGCAATATTAGTCCTGAAACTATTGCTTCAGTAGCAAGTTAATCCTAAGTTTAAATTTAAAAAGTAAGTTGATCCTTAGAGTTGCATAGTCATTTATCAATTAGAAGCGGTTTAAATTTGGTTAAATTGTCAAGAGATTTACAATATGTGATGATTTACTAGTAATTTAGGCGATTTTAATTTTTTAAGACTTATTATGCAACTACACAAAAGTCTGGAGATTAATTTATAACTACAATAATAGGCCGTGGGCCAGTACTATAATTTCTTTACTAATTAATATAATATTTAATATTAATCAGAATTATTGAATATTAAATGCCTGTCAATTTTCTCAAATTTATATCTAAAGCTCAATAATTCTTTGTACAAATTATTATTTGACAAAAATAATAAATTTATCTAACATTTATCAAAATATTAATCAACCCTATAATAAGTGGTTAAAAAAAATGGCTCGAAAATTTTTCGATTTTCTATATAAAAGTTAACAAAAGCAAATTGTTTTTAAAATTTGTTTAATATCAAGTAGGAAATTCATCATAAACACCACATCATCTGACCCCGGTTACTTCTAAATTATAGTGAAATTTCATGCTAATATTCAAATTTTAAATCATTTCATTAATCAAACTTTATATCATTTCATCAACCACTAGAGTTTACTTTTTATCTCAGCTTAATAGTCACCTAGCCTCTATTTGAAAGAAATAATATATAGAAATAAATAATGAATAAGTAAATAATACTTGTGAATTCATTAAAATGTATGATTAAGCAATTATTTGATCTCCATTATTTCTAAAACACATTTTTTCTCTCGTATTTTCAATCAAACGTTTTTCAATAAAATAATATACACAAATTCAAAACTTTTTCTTATCTTTTTACCACATATTATTTGAAAATGCATTTTTTGAGAACGATGGGACTCAAACTGGCTTTTGATTATTTATAACTGATTGATAAATTTTGCCAAGAGGCTTAAGTTAAAATCCATTATTTCTTCTAACAAAATATATGATATCAAAGGCCTCCAAGTTTACCTCACCTTGAGACACTCAATTTGAAAAATTAACGAATTGCGAGTTACCAAACTAGCTCCACCAAATTGCATCATCATCATCATAATTGTGTGTGTGTGTGTGTGTGTGTGTGTGTGAGAGAGAGAGAGAGAGAGAGAGCTAATAATTTTTGTTCCTTGTTTGGATCTAATAAGACATCTAAAGCAAAAATTGCTGATAACAAAACAAAATATTTGAAAGATGAAATGCCAACATCAATATACACAATCAGAATTGCACCATCAAATTGATTCATTTGTTATTGATATAGCAAATGACACACCACACCAACATACACCGTACCATGTTCAACAGGACAGATTCAAATCTGAATACACCCTATGTTACCGTCTTTACTGAGCCCTGTGACAAAAAATTGAAGGGCATAAGATTTCCTGTTCTAGCGAGAAACTAAAAGAAAAACTAAAAACCCATTACCCGCACTATTAACATTCAGAGTTGTATTTCTGCTTATAAAACAAGATATATAAATAGCCAACGTTATTCGATTACAATCATCAAGGAAAAAAAAACCAAGAAACCCAATGGCAATGGTCAACTTTTCTCCTCTTTCATGGCTTGATAGTATTTTATCCTATGAATTTTGAACTTTTGGTTCTTCTTCTCAAGATGTTTCTTTAAAAGCCCGTTAAAATGTTGTATCTAAAATTCAGGAGGCATCACGTTGCCATATTGATCAGCTAGTTGACTATTTTTCTTTGGTTCAGCATGTGCTTTTGTTTCAGGGTTTTGCATTTTTTAAAGGATAGATAACACCCTTCATTTACTACAAGGATAGTAATATTAGTAGGAAAACAGAATCCATATAAAATACTAAAGTTATATTCTGTATTCAAGCATTATAGATACAGAGTAAGAGTGTGAAAACTTAACCATTAATAGCTCTAATAGTTGGTAAATTTTTATCTCAATATTATAAAAGATTAAGTCTCAGTCGAAGTTGATAACAACCTTCGCTTAATCTTCATATTTCAATCGTTATTGTTTCCTTTGAAATTACCAAAAGCATCTCATGTACTTCTATGTCTGTGCATCCATGGTTTTTTACCACAAAGTATACATCATCATTAAATTAAGCCAATCTAGGTGGTGGTTGATTAGTACCTAACAAAAACAAAAATTTCAAGTGATTGCAACATACCTGGGTTAATTCACAGACCAAATTTAGGGTCCACTGTTCCGGTAGCATTTCCTTCCCCCGATAGCATATGGTTGGGATCCTGCCAAAACATATGAACTCATTAGCAACAAAGAAAGTAATAACAGACAAATTAAATCAGACGTGCAGCGGGCTACCTCCATTCCCCACTTGATGTAATCTGGGGATTCACAAGCCTTGTACTCATCTACAAGACTCTCAATTATGTCTCTAGATTCATCAAACTCTGAAAGATCATTATCCTGGACATGTTTCACAACCATTAAATGTGAGACAAGATATGCAAGCAGAAATTTAAGTTCTACAATACAACTAAGAGTCTTAAGGTGTTCAAACCAGCGAGTTATTGGAACGACCGAATACCAAATGATAAATTCCTGAAACCTAATGAAAGCCTAGTGCTTGCTGCTTCGGGAAGAGTAAAAAGGACCAATTATAGAGCATGAATTTCAAAGGGGAAAAAATATGAATATGAAAATCTTGTTCTCCATTTCAACTATTAAAGCACTTGCTGAACTTTTATATGGCATCATCACTGATTAAGAAATTTTTGGTACTGCAAATGTCTCGAAAGGTCGAGAGGAAAGTGTGAATGACTTCAATTATCAGGGGAAAAAAAAGACGGAAAAAAAAAAAGAAGAACGAAATGTAAGGTCCAAAACAAACTACATATGAAATGACACAAGGCAGACAACTTACAGCAAACATTGGATGGTTCCTGTAATTATCCAGAAAAGCTTGTCTCTTCCTCAACTTTTCGTACTGGCTCAAACACTTGGAGAATAAGTGGCGGATACCAGTATGACTTGCTAGCATGAGACCACTGACCTAAAAAATACAAAAGGCATATATAACAATTGATTGCTACAATATTTTGACCCTCATCATCTAAATATAACTTCACATGCAACCAGGAGAAAGAAAAGAAACATAAAATGATGATTTATATTGTCTAAAAAATTCTTGATGAAAAAGGTCAAGTACACAATAAAAGCTGGAACAAGGGAAAAAATAGTCAGCTACGTATTGTCTTACTTTTGCATTTACCGGTCTCTACTCTCTGCTATTTTCATTTAAAACCCTCTCCAAAAGCATGCATTTTATTCAGTTTTACAGCACTAAATAGATAACACCAGAGAAGCAAATAAGGAAAGAATTATAAATGATGCAACAGTCCCCCTTTTATCCAAAACACCACTCCATGAGGTCAGACGACGACAGTCATGAAAGGAATTAAGCACCCGTTTGGCCCCCATTTTTTGGAAATGAAAATGGGTAAAATTGTGTTTTCTAAAAAATGAGTGGTTGAAAAAGAAGGAAAAAATTTCGACTTACGTGTAATATTATTTTATGGAAGATTGTGTGGTTGAAAATAGGACAGAAAAAATGAAATGTAATTAAACGGGGCTAACTAGCTGGTTGCAGTCACAGGAAGCCGATCATGTCTTATACCACCTACAATAGTTATTTACCAAGGAAGTGCAGACATCATACCCTGTGAGCAGTCTGAACATAAGGAGACTTTCTAGATAGAGCAACCTATCAAAATGAAAAGACAGATTTTACTGTATAACAAATGATATAAATTAAATATACAAACTAACAACTGAGAGAAGATTAGACATGCCTGAATGCTGGCAGGGCCCCATTCAATAAAATTTACAAGCTTTCTTTCACGTATTCTCTGTAAACTTTCATGAACCTAGTTTCCAAAAGTCGTACATTAATAAATAATAAATAGAACACCGAAAGTGATATAACTGACACAACCTTTGGTTTCTAAGATCATTATCAAAATTCAGCAAAGAGAAATTAGGCAAAATAATTCTGCACAAAATTATAGAGATAGAGGCAAACTGAGCTGTTGTAGACCATGAGATGGTGATCAATCCCTCTACTCTCCACCCTAAAACAATCATCTTGGCTTCTATTCTATCTTCCCAAACTCTTAATTTCTACCCAAAATCCAATTTTAATGTTTCTCATTTCTCATTATTATCCTTAGCAGATAATGTTTTAGTGGTTCTTTTAGTTTTGTGTTGTTTTATATACTCGTTATAGTGGATTCGCACATGAAATCATTACTAAATTTCACAATTGATTGCAGACCTCTGAGATAAAAGACTCCCAGATCATTTATAGCTTTAGTCCATTGTTTGGACATATCAAGCATAATTAAGAAATAATGACACTCTACGGAATTAAACATGTGAAGTCATTCATACACTAAGCAAAGCCAGCTTAAATTTTTTTCGAAAGGATGATGCTTGTTCATCTATAAATGCTCCATGCCTCCACCCAATAAACATCATAGTAGTATCATTACAATGCTAACTGAACAAACTGAAACCCCAAACCAATAAAAACAAAAACAAAAATGCACTAATGGCACACCTTTTTCACCTCACCAAGATTTTGAGCTCAAGGGAATGTTGCATGACTAAATAAGAAATTTCTTAATATACTTGGAAAAGTCCTGGCATTTACAATTTACAATCTCATTATAGTCGCAGAAACTAAGTTTATATTGACTAATAAACATGAAATTCTAGGTACTTGCTCTATTCTTTCCATAAATGTGCTTTCAAAAGGAATTCTCAAATCCAAAATTACATGTGATTACTGGCCTCTTGAAACTGAAATTACATGTGATTACCGACTTCTTAAGAGGGATGAGCATTAACCCAAATTACCTGAGTAGGATCCACTTCTCCTTGAATAATGTTCAGTATTGATATGTATTTTGCCTGACTAGCTTCTTTTGTTCGAGCAGAGGAAACCATGATGTTCTTTGTCTGCCAAGTGAAACAACATAAGAATCTATCCCATATGTGTAAAACAAATTTTAAGAGATTTCCTCTTGCCTGAAGAAGTCTTCTCATCACATCTAGTACGGTTGTTTTGCGAATTACATTAGCCTGCAGAAAAAAATTTCCATGCATTAGCTTACAGTTTTGACTGTTTTGACACTTTGACGAAAAAAATAGAAGTGTGCTTCATACTTCCAAATATGAGAATATTTAAAATAGAAAAATGCCCTGCTTCATAATTCATAAGATAATTAAATATATATCCACTTATATCGAGTATTATCCATGATTGACCTTTGCCATAATTAAGCAATCATTTCAGTTAATTAATTTTGCTTTAATAAGATGAATCATGATGGCAGATCTCAATGAGATGTAAACATGTGTGCTATGCCTTGGGTGGGATAAGCAAAAAAGAAGATGGACATTCTCACAAGCAAGAAAGAGTAAGAGAGACGGAAAGATTGTCGTGGGAGAATTAAACCTAGATCTATTTGTTCAATTGCTACATGAAATAAGCAGTGTGCTAACGCATATACCAAAAGTCTGAATGAACTGCATCAAATAAAGCATCCTAAGCTATATGGAGCACCACTAATCAAATACAGCAAGCTTGTGATGAAAATTTCTATCAACTTATATTCAATACTTCTCAACATAGCACAGAAGACAATTTGATCAAATAGACAAAAAAGAAACCATTTAGAAGTGATCCAACTCTTCCAAAATGATTCAATCTAATACTAATACATTTTTAAACATCAAATATAATTAGCTTTTCAAGCCAAAACAAGTATATACATGTTCCATTATTGAGAGAATGCAAATTATGCACAACTGTGTGATGAAAGTTACTGTATGTAAATTCGTGAGTGAAAGTAATTAACATCAGATATTGAGTTGTAGTATTCCCTTCCTCTTGCAACACTCAAAACCAAAATGTAATAAACAACACAAAGGGCCGTAGTTTGAACTAATAGAAGGGAAATCAGAAAACGTCAGAACACGTCTACTTGCTAAATTTTCAGTAAATAGCAGTCATAAGAAGCTTACTTGTCGCTCCACTGTGAGTGGTGTATATCCTGTCATTAGAAAATGACATCGAGGAGTAGGGATCAGAGAAGCAAGAAGTCCAACCAAGTCATTGTTCATGTATCCTGGATAGCGCAAAGTTGTCGTGCTTGCTGACATGACTGTAGAAACTAAAGAATTTGTTTGGGCAAAAGTAGGAGTAGAGATGTGAAGGCGTTCCACAGCAATCCTATTAAGTGCAGTATTATCGAGAACAACTACGCAGTCAGCATTCAAAGTCAGTCGCTTGAGTGTTAGAAGGGAGTTGTATGGCTGTACCACCACATCACTTGTCTCGTTTTGGTTGGGAAATACACTATATGTTTGAACGAGTTTTTTGCTGTAGCGATCATTCAGCGTCTCCAGTAGGTATGATCCCATACCTGGCGAAAGCAAGCAATTATTGGTCAAAATAAGTCAAATCACTTGGCCAAGACTAGAAAGTAATTGTGTCAGTGAAAAACATATTAAAGATAAAGTGGCATGGGATATCTGAGGAATAATATGTTGCTATAAGGCAGTCTGAGTTAAAGCGGGAAAAGAATTCAAGTATAAGTCATCCCACAAATGATAGTTGATTTTCATTTTTCACTCACTCAAGAAGGCAAGCATATACCTTCTTACAATTTAACAATTGATTAACATAATTCTTATCAAAATCAATATGATTTAGAAGATTCAGATTTTGGAAGTTAGATAGGAAAGTTGTACAGCAACACAGTAGGATTCGAAAAACCTGAGCCTGTTCCGCCAGCAATTGAATGGCACAGTACAAAACCCTCAAGACTGTCACTTCCATCCGCTTCTCTATCAATCATGTCCATTAGATCCTCCTCATATTGCTTACCCTGATTGAAAGAATATTAAAATGCCAAAAGGAAGTAATATAACAATATTAATTGACATCCAAATTCATAAGTTTAATACAAAGAGGGGACAAAAGAAAGAGATTTATGTCCAATTTAATATGCGAGGGATAGTAAAGGCTTATCTTAGGAGATATAAACTACGGCAAATGACAGCTCTACTAAATAGAATCTATAGGAAGTCGAGAAAAAATTGAATAATTTCAGGCAGATTGCTGTAGTTTTTCTACCACATACGACTCACTTGTACATCTACTTTATTTTAATTTGCTGGATTAGAGAAAAGAATTTGTTTCGCTCAGAAATTGAAATCTAATATTACTTGACAAAAAAAAGTTTGGAATGCCAAAGTTATTACTTTTGAAACCAGCGTGGATCAAATTAACAGTAGGGATTCAAGCAGAAAAAAGCATGATTACAAAGAGCAGTAGGCCAGCAGTCATCTCACCAAATATATCGAATACCATTATATCGCTTTACACACACTTTACCAGCAATCCAGTAATATTTTCTGTACTATTAGTCCGAGCATATTGCTTTCACAATACAAAAGGAATATGTCACATTAACTGTATATAATATCTGCCATCAATTATGAAAATGGAACAGATACTGACCTGGTGGTATCCACTTGCCCAGTTATTTCCAGCACCACCTCCATGATCTGCAATAAATACATTCTCGTGATTGTAGAGATTTCTGTATTCCCCATTTTGTATACCATTAATCACTCTGGGCTCCAAATCCATCAGTAATGCACGTGGAATATAGTGTTGATCATCGGCTTGATAGAAAAAAACATCTTTCCTGTCACCTCCCTGCAGCATTTGAAGCATCGCATTAACACAGAATAAGAAATTTTTATTAGAATGCTGATAGAGATCAATTCTGCTCATGGGGCCAGATATAAGTATCCAGTGCACACACAATTTACCATTTATGTATATGAGCATGAATTTACGAATAGTTGATGTATTTGTGAGCATATACATCTTCCCTGAATACATCCTTGATAAATATGCATACTTAAGATCTGCATCCTTCAGCAAGGAATGAAATCTCAGAATGAGATGACATTAGCAGGATGCCTCATCAAAGTTCCCACTGCATGTTTGTTTTCTTCAGTTCCAATTTCATGCCCCCAACTCTGTGGACCAATCACTCAGCAGAGGTTCATTTGTATAATCAAGAACTTATTTGAAACAGTTCTCTCGGTTCTCCGGCGCTTCCCTTTCCAAAATAATTGAACTTCGCCCCTTATTATATTGCTTTCTTTCCCTTCCAATTCCATCATGCACTTGCTAACTAATACTCTCAATAACTAAAACAGTATATGACAAACTACCAAAATCCTTACTTAACTCCAAAAAAAATAATAATAATAATAAATCTAACAGTGCAATTTCATTTCATCGAACTAAGATGGGTACAACTTTTGATACATGAACTACCACACTTTGTTATTGCACTTCACCAACCCAATAGTTCAAGCCTTCTCCTCTATAGCACGATCAAACAGGAAAAATCACACAAAAAGTAAAGCATTAAGTATCGAAAATTTCCACCCCTTATCACCAATTCGAAAATTGAAAGCTTTCTCCATTATATCTTTTCCGGTTACATTTTTCTACCAAGGAAGAACATAAAACAACAACTCTAGAAAAAAAAAATGAGAGAGAAGAGAAGAGTATACACAGACATAAACATATACCTACTTCATACTGAAAGTAAAGCATTGAGTTCTGCACATTCACCAATCAAATTTAAAACATTCCTTCATAATATTTTTTCTATTTTCAATTTCTTGGCCAATTACAAGCATAAAACAAGTATACATTAATGGAAAAATCATATACAAACAAAGAGAGAGTGTAAGAGGTTTGGACCTGAGTGGCGAAGTCTTCGAGAATGCCATCTTTGCTAATGCCATGTTCGAGGCATAGCTGTTTCCAGAACTCCATTCCGATCTGGTTCCCACATTGCCCCACTTGCAACGTAATTATTTCCCTCGGCATTTTCCTTTTCCTGGGGGAAATTCGAATTTAGCTAGGGTTTCGATCGAGAAAGATGAGGGATCTGACTGTGAATATATGATTTTGCTTTTTTGCAGTGTTTGTGGTTGGTGGCGGGGACTGGGGTTTTGAAAAGGAGGAGAGGGAAACTGTGGCGTCGGAAATTATTGCCACTGCGCTTTACAACATAGTGCCGGCAAAGGTACGGATGGAGTCACCGCAGACTTGTGCTGCATTTATAGGAAATGGGAAAAATTACGGATGGGGTCCTCGACCTATTGAAAATGTAGCAATTTTGTCTTTCACTTTTTTTATTTGTAGCAGTGAGTTCTTCATAGACGGATTTCATAAAACGTATTGATAGAGTTAATCGATTTGACTTGTAATCAAACAAATTGATTAGTTTTGATCGATCAAATAGCGTCAACAGTCCCTATTTGATCCCATTAAAATTAAAATTCATTTTTTCCTCTCTTTTCACTAATTACGCATTTTTCAATAAAATAATATTACACATTGACTATGCCAATATTGATATAGCCCGAGGAGTTTATCCCGAGGACTCCATATATACCCCATCTCATTTCTCTGCTATGGTCCTCGGGGTCTCCCTAAGTTCTAAAGGTAATGTAGTCCTCGAGATACCTCAAGGACATATTTACATTCTCTCAGGTCCTCGAGAATAGTCCTCGGGACATACACCACCAACATGTCTCCTAAGACCTGGGTACCTAACAAACAAACCTAAACACCCAAGGATTCTACATCAACCCTGATACCGCTTGTCAAACAATTCCATTACAAGTAGGACACTCTTTATAAATAGAAATTCCCTTGGATAAAAACATCCAACCAACACAATCCTACTAGGAGTACACTACCTACCCCTATAAAAGCAGAACCTTGGGCCATTATTCAGGTACGTTTTTCATTGTTCTTCAGCACATAGCCTCACGCTTATATTTCCCTTTCTGACTTAAGCATCGGAGGGACGACGAGAACATACCTCGTTGCCTTTGTTTCAGGTACCGGAAGATCGCTATCGTGATCAACCCGAATCATCAAGCTCGGAAAATCAGCAGGTACGATTTTTGGTATCATCATTGGCGTCGTCTGTGGGAGACGCTACCAAAAGCCATGGTAAACACACGTTCAGGTCTTCCACCAGCAAGCTCATCCGCTCCAAACCAACCCCCTCCTGAGGATATCCCTGTTCCTCAAGAGGAATCATCAGAAGTGCCAGAGCCCCAGCCGGCAGTCGTCACTGCTGGAGCCTTTGAAGAACTCAGACAACAAGTCGCCACACTGAATCAGCTGCTAAGCCAAAGAAATTCGCATCCGTCACCCACACCAGCACCCCAGGGGGGTCCTATGACTGATGCTCGAGCTCGAGCTCAAACACATGTCCCTGACAATGGCGGAGCAAGGGCCTCGGGTATACCACATGTGACCTCGACCTCGAGATCAGTGACCATGGAGTCCGGGGAACTCGCTAGAATTATTCAAGAAGGAATCACGGCAGGCCTACTTCAGGGCAACAAAGGGACGATAAGATTCAGTCCCAACACTCCCTTTACTCCCGAGATATTAATATTCCCCTTGTTAGACAGATTTAAGTATCCTAGGATCAAAGAATATGATGGGACCACCGATCCAATCAATCATTTGAACGTATACACGGACGTCACGAATCTACAGGTTGCACCAAATCAGGTGATGTGCAAGGCCTTCCCGCAAACTTTGACGAATGCTGCTAGGGATTGGTTCTCAACCTTAGAACCCAACTCCATAGCCTCATTCTCGGATTTGGCGGACAAGTTCTCTGCTTTCTTTGCAAGCAGTAAACGCATCAGGAAGACAGCGGCTTCCCTCATGCAACTTAGACAAGGGCAAAATGAGACCCTACGTGACTTCATGACCAGGTTCAACAAGGAAAGACTTCAGATTCTCGACCTACACATAACTGCAGCAGTTTCTGCCCTCACAAATGCCATAAAGTGCGAGGCTTTCAAGATGTCTTTATCCAAGACTCCACCGAAGACAGTCACCGAGCTTCTTACCTGAGCCGAGAAGTACATAAATATGGAGGAAACATTGAACCCGAGAAAGGTTGGACCATCCCATGATAGGGTCGAGCATAAAAGACAGCACGACGCGAACCCCCGTGAAGAACATCGGAAAAAAACAGAGACAGGAGGTTTCCCCGACGCCATTCACGCGTTTAAATACGTCAAAAACCAATATATTGATGGAGATCAAGGATATTAAGGAACTCAAATGGCCTGCCAGAATGAGGTCACCACCCGAATCCAGGGACATGAACAAGTACTGTGAGTTCCATCGGGATCATGGGCATACCACGGAGAACTGTAAGGCCCTGCAAAGGGAGATTGAAGCCCTTATTAAAAGAGGACTCCTGAGTTCTTACGTCGGTAACGAAAAACGCCCGAGGAATGATCGTGGCAGGGAAAAAGCCCCTGAGACAAAAAGGGATGGTCAACCTACTGCTGGAACCATCAATATCATCATTGGAGGCATTGCCTCGGGAGGAGACTCCAGCAGTGGAAGAAAACAATATGCCCGACAATATGCCTTGGCCTCTGGGATGCCTCATAGAAAGCTGGAGGATATTACTTTTGGGACCGGGGACTTAGATAGTGTATCACTTCCACATGATGACGCCTTGGTAATCTCAGCCATTGTGGCCAATTTTGAAGTAAAGAGAATCTTGGTTGACAACGGGAGTGCGGCCAATATACTTTCACAAAAAGCTTTTGCAAAAATGGGAATCTCATCTCAGCAGCTCAAAGCGGTTAAAACTCCTCTCCAGGGATTTGGGGGAGGAGTCATCACTCCAGAGGGTGTCGTGGAGCTTCCTCTAACTTTGGGTTTTGGCCAGAAACAGGTTACGGAGATGACATCTTTTCAAGTGGTACGTGTCTCAATGGCCTATAACGCTATTCTGGGAAGGCCACTCCTGAACAAGATTAAAGTCATTGTGTCCACCTTCCACCTAGCCATGAAGTTTCCAACATGTAATGGTGTTGGGGTCGTCCGTGGAGACCAGATAGCCGCTAGACAATGCTACGTTGCCAGCGTTCGGGAAATAAATAACGACGTCTTGCAAATCTCGAAGATTGAGCCCGAGGCCGAGCAACAAGTCAGACTTGCTCCTGTCGAAGAATTGATGGAAATTGAGCTCGAGCATGATAAGAAGGTGACAATTGGTCGGGATCTGGACGTCACCCTGAAGACAGAACTTGTTGGTTGCTTATCTCGCAACATTGACGTTTTTGCCTGGAAGGTTGAGGATATGTCAGGGATAGACCCTAAAATTGCAGTCCATAGGCTTAACATTAGCCCAGGGGCCAGACCAGTAAAGCAGAGGAAAAGACAGTTTGCCCCGGAACGCCGGGAGGTCATTCGCGAAGAAATTAACAAACTCGTAAGTGCTTAGTTCATTCGGGAGGTCCAATATCCCGATTGGCTTGCCAATGCTGTTTTAGTAAAGAAGGCCAATGATAAGTGGAGGGTCTGCATTGACTTCACAGATCTTAACAAAGCATGCCCAAAGGATAGTTATCCCCTACCACGGATTGACAACTTGGTGGATAGCACGTCCGGACATAAGTTGTACAGCTTCTTGGAAGCATTTTCTGGTTATCATCAAATCCTCATGGCCGAGGAAGATCAAGAAAAGACATCATTCATGGCCGATTCCGCCATATACTGTTATAAGGTCATGCCTTTCGGTTTGAAGAATGCAGGGGCAACATACCAAAGACTCATCAACAAAGTCTTTGCTAACTTGATTGGAAGGAACGTGGAGGCGTACGTTGATGACATGGTGGTCAAGAGCAAACAGGTGGACCAGCATATTTCAGATCTTGAAGAGGTTTTCGACACATTGCGAAAGTACGAAATGAAATTGAACCCCGCAAAATGTGCATTTGGTGTGGCCTCGGGCAAGTTCTTGGGCTTTATGATCACTCACCGGGGGATAGAGGCCAACCCTGACAAAATACAAGCCTTGGCGTCTATGGATCACCGAGGAACAAGAAAGAGGTACAGAGGTTGACAGGTAGGATAGCAGCCTTGAACAGGTTCATGTCCCGAGCATCAGACAGGTGCTATCCCTTCTTCAAAGTCCTCAGAGGAAACCAAGGCTTCGATTGGAGTAAAGACTGTGAGAAAGCTTTTCAGGAGCTCAAGCAGACATTGGCATCTCCTCCTATTCTCACTAGGCCTGAGCCTGGTGACACCTTATTTTTGTACTTGGCCGTATCTCAAAACGCAGTCAGCGGGGTCTTGGTGAAAGAGGTTAACAAAGTCCAGCAACCTATCTACTATGTAAGCAAGGTCCTACTGGATGCGGAAACAAGGTATACTTTGGCGGAACAACTTGCCCTTGCCTTGGTTATAGCAGCACGGAAACTCCGACAGTATTTTCAGTCTCACCCTATTGTGGTACTCACTAATCAACCACTTAGGCATATACTTCAGAAGCCGGACGTATCGGGAAGACTAATGAAATGGGCAATCGAGCTTGGAGAATTTGACATAGAATTCAAACCACGCCCATCTATCAAAGCCCAAGCTCTAGTCGGCTTCATTGCAAAACTAACCCCTAGGCCTCAGGGGCCAGGTGACAGCTCTAGCATGAGCACTAATTTGGACACTTGGCAAATATTTGTGGATGGAGCATCGAACTCCTCGGGCTCGGGCGCAGGGGTCATCATCATCAGCCCTGACAAACAAACAGAGATCCAATGCGCTCTCAGGTTCGAGTTTGAAGCAACCAACAACGAGGCCGAGTATGAGGCCGTCGTTATCGCTCTTGAGCTAGCCCTTTGCCTCGAGCTCGAGTTCGTAAAGATATTCAGCGGCTCACAACTGGTGGTCGGACGGATTGAAGGTTCATTTGAAAGGAAAGACGAGAAAATGAGTTTGTACTGTATGAGGGTTCAGGATCTTCAACGAAAATTCAAGAGTTGTGAAATTGCAAAAATTGCTCGAAAGGACAACGGAAAAGCCGATGCATTATCCAGGCTTGTGTTCATGGGGGTAGATGGCCTTGACAAAACAGTTCATATTAAAATCATCACAGAACCCAGCATCAGTCAAATCCTCGACATTATGGACATTGACAACGAACCATCCTGGATGGACCCAATCATCGAATTCCTCACAAGTGGAAATCTACCAAGCGATGCCAGG